TACGGAACAACAGACTGGTTCAAGATTGGGAAAGGCGTACGGCAAGGCTGCATCCTCTCACCCAACCTTTTTAACTTGTATTCAGAACACATCATGCGATGTGCGGGGCTGGATGAATGCAAAGCTGGGGTGAAAATTGCTGGAAGAAACATTAACAACCTCAGATATGCAGATGACCCACTCTGATGGCCGAAAGCGAGGAGGAGCTGAGGAGCCTTCTAATCAAGGTGAAAGAAGAAAGCGCAAAAGCCGGGTTGCAGCTAAACGTCAAAAAAACCAAGATTATGGCAACAAGAATGATTGACAACTGGAAAATACAGGGAGAAAATGTGGAGGCCGTGACAGACTTTGTATTTCTAGGTGCAAAGATGACTGCAGATGCAGACTGTGGCCAGGAAATCAGAAGACGCTTACTTCTTGGGAGGAGAGCAATGTCCAGTCTCGATAAAATAGTGAAGAGTAGAGACATCAGACTGGCAACAAAGATCCGCCTAGTCAAAGCCATGGTATTCCCTGTAGTAACCTACGGATGTGAGAGCTGGACCTTAGGGAAGGCTGAGCGAAGGAAGATCGATGCTTTTGAGCTGTGGTGTTAGAGGAAAGTTCTGAGAGTGCCTTGGACTGCGAGAAGATCCAACCAGTCCATCCTCCAGGAAATAAAGCCCGACTGTTCACTGGAGGGAAAGATACTAGAGGCAAAGATGAAGTACTTTGGCCACATAATGAGGAGACAGGAAAGCTTAGAGAGGACAATTATGCTGGGGAAAATGGAAGGAAAAAGGAAGAGGGGCCGACCAAGGGCAAGATGGATTGATGGTATCCTTGAAGTGACTGGCTTGACCTTGAAGGAGCTGGGGACGGCCGACAGGGAGCTCTGGCGTGGGCTGGTCCATGAGGTCACAAAGAGTCGGAGACGACTGAACGAATGAACAACAACGAAGAATTCCTTTCCAAATAATTAGCTCTTGCTTGGAAATGACTCCACACCCACAACAGCGATTTCAATGCATCAGCTGCATGATTATACCGCAAAAGCTACATTTCCATTTGTGTCCTTGTAGATGCTTTTCAAGTAGGATACTTGCTAATGTGCCACATCTTGCTAAAATATAATTAGAGGTGATGTTTCACCTATCCTCCTGAAACATGGAAGACCTGGAGCTGTTCATGAATATTAATTCAGAGGAGGTTTCCCTTGTAGCCGGGAGCAAGGAGGCAGAGCTGCTGCCACCGCAGATGAATTCCACAGCCCAAAAGGTGGCAACTCTTAATTATCAGCCATAGGATAATTAGGCAGCAGGAACAGCCTTCTTAGTGCTCAAAGGACATAATGACAATCAACAAGAAATGTCTTTGCGATGGGATACATTTGTTCTAGCATAGTGTTTCTCAAACTTCCTAATGCTGCAACCCCTTAATACAGTATCTCATGTTGTGGTGACCCGCAACCATAAATTTATTTTCGTTGCTACTTCATAGCTCTTATTTTGCTACTGTTATGAATTTATTTATTGACTAGCCATTCCCTGCCATGCATTGCTGTGGCCCACTCTGGTGATCTGGAAAATAAAGTAATGAGAAAGTGTTGATTTTTAATATATGTAATGTCTTTCTGCTTGTGGGTAAACAGTATTTCTTGCTGTTTCTTTGTCAGTGTTGGTGTGGAGAGAGTCTGGTTTGCTTACTCTGGAACATGCAACATATAATTGCACTTCTTCAGGAGGGCATTGATTACGTTTTCTTGCCCCTGTAAAGGGAGTTGGACTGGATGGCCTTAAGTATTTTCTGTTGGTCATGTGGGTTCTGCATAGGAAGCTTGCCCCAATTCTGTCAGTGGGGTTCGGAATGCTCTTTGACTGTACATGAACTATAAATTCCAGTAACTACAACTCCCAAATGTCAAGGTCTATTTTCCCCAAACTCCATCTGTGTTCGTATTTGGGCATATGGAATATTCATGCCAAGTTTGGTCCAGATCCATCCGTGTTCGAGTCCAAAATGCTCTCTGGATGTAGCTGAACTACAACTCCCAAACTCAAGGTCAATGCCCACCAAACCCTTCTAGTGTTTTTGTTGGTCATGGGAGTCTTGTGTGCCACATCTGGTTCAATTCCATCATTGGTGGAGTTCAAAATGCTCTTTGATTGTAGGTATACTATACATCCCAAATGACAACTCCCAAATGACAAAATCAATTTTAATAAGTTTTTAATTAGTTTTTCTTTTAATCATTACATGTAGCCCACCCATTGTCACTGTGATTGTGTTTATTGTAATTTTATATCGTTATGCATTCATATGTGTTATGTAATCATTATGTTGTTGTTTATTGTTCTCGTTTTCGGTTTTATTTGGCTGTAATTTGTTGTTTGGGCTTGGCCTCATGTTAGCCGCCCCGAGTACCCATTGTGGAGATGGTGGCGGGTATAAATAAAGTTTATTATTATTATTAGGTGTCTTGTGGCCAAATTTGGCAGCAATTCGTCCAGTGGTTTTTCAGTTATGTTAATCCCACAAACAAACATTGCATTTTTATTTATATAGATTTATGACATTTATACACTGCCCTTCTCACCCAAAGGGAACTCAGAGTGGTTTACTATATACACACACGCACACAAAATATATTATATTATTAGCATAGTACAATATCAGTATTAAATATTACTATATTGTTCTATACCATTATGTTGTAATATTATTAGTAATATTACATGTAATATAAATATATAATTATAAAATCCATATTATTATTAGTATTAGTATTATATTGCATTACATTATATTATAAATATTATATGTATATACAATATATTATATTATATTACATTATATTATTACTTTACTTAGACGATCCCTCGTTTTTCGAGGATGATTGTCTTCCAGTGTTCCTGTGGGTCCGTATGTGGCTGTGGAGCCCTATTCTTGCTCTGCGTCTTCTTCCGCAGTGAGGGCATTGGTTTCCAGGTGGAAGGCGGTCTCGATCGGGGTTGGCTTGACGCGCCTTCCTCTTGGCATGCTTCTCCCTTTCGCCCTCCATTCGTGCCTCTTCAAATTCTGCAGCACTGCTGGTCACAGCTGACCTCCAACTGGAGCGCTCAAGGGCCAGGGCTTCCCAGTTCTCAGTGTCTATGCCAGAGTTTTTAAGGTTGGCTTTGAGCCCATCTTTCAATCTCTTTTCCTGCCCACCAACATTCCGTTTTCCATTCTTGAGTTCGGATTAGAGCAACTGCTTTGGGAGACGGTGGTCGGGAGCGTGGCCGATCCAGCGGAGTTGATGGCGGAGGACCATCGCTTCAATGCTGGTGGTCTTTGCTTCTTCCAGCACGCTGACGTTTGTCTGCCTGTCTTCCCAAGAGATTTGCAGGATTTTCCGGAGGCAGCGCTGATGGAATCGTTCCAGGAGTTGCATGTGACGTCTGTAGACAGTCCACGCCTCACAGGCATAAAGCAGGGTTGGGAGGACAATAGCTCTATAAACAAGCACCTTGGTATTCCTACTGGTGTCCCGGTCCTCAAACACTCTCTGCTTCATTCGGAAAAATGCTGCGCTCGCAGAGCTCAGACGGTGTTGTATTTCAGTGGCGATGTTGGCTTTGGTGGAGAACATTATATTATATTATTATAATAGCACAGGAGACAAGGTGGAAGTGTCCCCTGGCCCTCTCTCTCTTCACTCTGGCCCAGAGTGGCAATTGGTGCTGGGGTAAGGGTCCCCAATTGATGACTTATGCAGGAGACAAGATGGAACTCTCCTCTGCCCCCTCCTTCCCTGGGGTTCCGACCCCCAGGTTGAAAAACGCTGCTCTAGCAGTCATAGGCAACTTTTTTGATTGAAGGAATGTGGGCTGACAAGCAAGGATGTGGTTCCAATTTTTGTAAAATAGCAATCTCAGTGGAATGAAGAACTAGGGTGACAGCACAAGCCATGCGAGCCTGGACTTGGACAGACTGCTATATTGGTCACTTTTAATCATAAAATCACACATCCACTTCTTTTCATGTGGGAGCAGAGGAATATTTTAGGCAATGAGTGATTATGTTATAATATATTGTATATTTTTATAATATTATAATATAATGCAATATAATAATATGATATTATAATTATATATTTATATTACATGTAATATTACTAATAATATTACAATATAATGGTATAATACAACATGGTATTAATTAATACTGATATTGTACTATGCTAATAATATTGTATGTATATATATCTTGTAAGCTGCTCTGAGTCCCCTTCAGGGTGAGAAGGGTGGCATATAAATGTCGTAAATAAATAAATGTTTAGGTCTTACCCATCTCTCTGCAGATCAGTGGTTCCCTACCTGTGGTCCATGGACCACCAGTGGTCCGCAAGACCTAAAATATGATCCACGGCCTCACCATTACTACACCGTTGCAACAAGAGTGACAGACCTCGCGAAACCCTCTTATTAAATATGTTTTTCTGTGGGCAAGCAGATGGCAACAACTGGATGGCATATGTTCTGTATCAGAAACTAGAGCTGATGTGGTCTATCCAGTGCAATTTTCTGAATCAGCACCTCAAATAATCAAACTGAAGTTGCCCAAAAACTGATTTGTAGCCTTATTGGTCCTAATGCGGGAGAGTGTTCCTTGGTCAAAGTGGTTCCTGGTCAAGTGGACCCAAGTCAAGTGGTCCCTGGTTTAAAAAAAGGTTGGGAATCACTGCTGTAGATCAAGACAGGGAACAACAACAGATAAAATCAACGAAAAGAGCATGCAAAACCAATACAAACAGTATGCCCCCCCCCCTCCCGTATCCACAGCTTCATTTATCCACTTGTGACCAAATATGTCCTCTCCAGCAGTTGAGGAAAAGCTTGTCTTGGAGGTTTCTCATAAGTTAAAGTTCCCTGACCACCACTACCATCTGAAGGTTCTTTCATCTAATGTTAGGAACATGAGAATAAAGATCTTTTCTCGGGAGACACTTCAGCATTTTGAGGATTGATCAGAACTCTTACCTCTTTGTGGCACTCCTTGAGCAGACGAATGACCACGTTGCATTCTTCACTATGCAAATGAGGAGACAAATCTGGGTGCATCGTGAGTTAAGGAGAACGCATGGAGAAAACCAGAAGTCTTCTGCCTGTTAATATTAGGATATACTTCATATTACCTAAAATTCCTCTTGAGATGCGTTTTCGTGAAAGACAGTATTTATTTATTATTTATTTATTTACGACATTTATATGCTGCCTTTCTCACCCTGAGGGGACTCAGAGCGGCTTACAAGTAAAAAGTAAATACAATATATTATATTATCACAGCACAATATTAATATTATATATTACATTGTACTATAACACTATACTGTAATATTATTAGTAATATTACATTTAATATAAAATATATAATTATAATATCATTTTATTAGTAGTACTAGTATATTGTATTACATTATAATATTATCAATATTACATGTATATACAATATATTATATTATTGTTGCAACTCAGGGTAGCTTTCACCTTGCTCCAGACACCACCACACCAAAGCTGTAGGGTTTGTAGTTTATTGAGAAAAAGGCAAAATCAAAACAAAGTATAAGAAATGCTAAAGTTCCATAGGCAGGACAAAGACTTAAATGCAAAGTTTCCAAGATCCAAAGACAAAAATATGAAGCATAATCCTTTAGTAAGGGTTAAACAAGAGTCCATGGAAAACAGTTGAAAACAAGGCCCAAATCCCAGACTCGGGAAGCCGGAAGCGTGCTGCTAAAAGCCAAAGTTAATCCATAGAAGTTTGCATGGGAAGTACGCTGGACTGACAAGATCGTCTGCAATTAAGGCTCCAAAGAAGCACTCGCTTGGCTAGCAAGCGAGAAGCCAAGGGTGCCAAAGGTCAACACAATGTGTTCATGTCTGCAAAGGGTATTTAGACATGAACACATTGCGTTGACCTTTGGCACCCTTGGCTTCTCGCTTGCTAGACAAACGAGTGCTTCTCCGGAGCCTTAATTGCAGACGATCTTGTCTGCTCATTAATTCATTATCTTCAAGTCTATGTAACCCCTTATCTTGGTCCAGCTGGACCGGATCACTGTGGGGAGGAAAAGACGTCTCCACCTGGCCGTGTGGGAATTCACTCTCGTTATCAGTCTCACTAACATTCCTTTCCCCTGGGAACTGACTTGCTGTTTCTCCTTCAGCAGCCCCACCGTCAGCCCTGTCTGAAGCATGTACAGAAATCTGTAACCCATCATCCTCATCATCATCCTGTAGGAATTCTGGCTCAGAAGGCCCAAAGAGCTCAGCTTCAGACTCAGAGTCAAGCTGAGTCACAACAATTATATTATATTATTATTAGAAGCAGAGCTTGGAAGTAAATGATTAAATTGAGTTCCCATTCTACAATAGTTTGGACTTGCGGTGTCCAATTTGTGGCCTTCCAGGCATTTGGGACTCTAATTCCCAGAAGCCCTAGCCAATGGTTAAGAATTCTGGGAGCTGAAGTCCAAAACATTTGGAGGGCCACAAGTTTGACACCAGTGGTTTAGACCAGGGGCCCTCAAACTATGGCCCGGGGGGCCGGATACGACCCTCCAAGGTCATTTACCCGGCCCTCACTCAGGGTCAACCTAAGTCTGAAACGACTTGAAAGCACACAACAACAATCCTATCTCATCAGCCAAAAGCATGCCCACACTTCCCATTGAAATACTGATAAGTTTATATTTGTTTTTAAAAATCTTCATTTTAATTATTGTATTGTTTTTAAGTGTATTTGCACTACAAATAAGATATGTGCAGTGTGCATAGGAATTTATTCATGTTTTTTTCAAATTATAATCTGGCCCTCCAACGGTTTGAGGGACTGTGACCTGGCCCTCTGTTTAAAAAGTTTGAGGACCCCTGGTTTAGACTATCCAACATCCTAAAATTCACACAACTTTTACTGTTTATTGTTATCATATTTAGAAATATAGGGATGGGAAAGCTAATTTATTTATTTTATTTCTCGTGTCAGGGCAGCCAGTCAAATATATTACATTTCTAACAGAACAAAGCAAACAAACAGAGAGAATACAAAACGTGTGAGTTTGGTAGTTGATTAAATGTCCTTTGACCAGTATCTGGCCACTTGGAGTGCCTCTGGTGTTGCTGCAAGAAGGTTCTCCATGTTGCATGTGGCGGGGCTCAGGGTGCATTGCAGCAGGTGGTCTGTAGTTTGCTCTTCTCCGCACTCGCATGTCGTGGATTATTCCACTTTGTGGCCCCATTTCTGAAGGTTGGCTCTGCATCTCGTGGTGCCAGAGCGCAGTCTGTTCAGCGCCTTCCAAGTCGCCCAGTCTTCTGTGTGCCCAGGGGGAGTCTCTCATTTGGTATCAGCCATTGGTTGAGGTTCTGGGTTTGAGCCTGCCACTTTTGGACTCTCTTGCTGAGGTGTTCCAGCGAGTGTCTCTGTAGATCTTAGAAAACTATTTATAGATTTAAGTCGTTGACATGCTGGCTGATACCCAAACAGGGGATGAGCTGGAGATGTCTCTGCCTTGGTCCTTTCACTATTGGCTGCTACTTCCCGGCGGATGTCAGGTGGTGCAATACCGGCTAAGCAGTGTAATTTCTCCAGTGGTGTAGGGCGCAGACATCCCGTGATAATGCGGCATGTCTCATTAAGAGCCACATCCACTGTTTTAGTGTGGTGAGATGTGTTCCACACTGGGCATGCATACTCAGCAGCAGAGTAGCACAGCACAAGGGCAGATGTCTTCACTGTATCTGGTTGTGATCCCCAGGTTGTGCCAGTCAGCTTTCGTATGATATTGTTTCTGGCACCCACTTTTTGCTTGATGTTCAGGCAATGCTTCTTGTAGGTAAGAGCACGATCCAGAGTGACTCCGAGGTATTTGGGTGCGCTGCAATGCTCCAGTGGGATTCCTTCCCAGGTGATCTTTAGAGCGGGATGCTTCTCTGTTCTTGAGATGAAAGGCACATGTCTGTGTTTTAGATGGGTTGGGGATCAGCTGGTTTTCCCTGTAATAGGTAGTAAGAGCACCTAGAGCTTCGGAAAGCTTCTGTTCTACCATCTCAAAGCTCCCTGCTTGAGCAGTAATGGCACGATCATCAGCATAGATGAAACTCTCTGTCCCTTCTGGCAGTGGCTGGTCATTTGTGTAGATGTTGAACATGGATGGAGCAAGCACCTCTCCCCTGAGGCAGGCCATTCTTCTGTTTCCGCCATCTGCTTCTCTGGCCCTGGAACTCAACAAAAAAGCTCCTGTTTTGTAGCAGGTTTCCTATGAGGCGGGTGAGGTGGTAGTCCTTTGTGATATTATACATTTTTCTCAGGAGGAGGCGGTGGTTCACAGTATCATAGGCTGCTGACAAGTCTATGAAGACAGCTCCTGTGATCTGCTGCCTTTCAAAGCCATCTTCTATGTGCTGAGTCAGGTTCAGCACTTGCGATGTGCAGCTTTTGCCTTTTCTGAAGCCAGCTTGCTGTGGGATCAGACATGGGTCTATTTTTTCCGTAATTCTATGCAAAATAAGTCTCTCCAGAACTTTGTAGAGGTGGCACAACAGGGAAATTGGTCTGTAGCTTTTTGGGTCATTACGGTCATTACTTTCATTACGGGAAAGCTAATGAATTCCAGGTATTTTGGATTACAATTCCCACCCACCTGTTACCGTGGCTGATATGGAACCAGTTGCCCATAAGATTTAGAGAACAATAGGTTACCTTTTAAAAGTTATATGATGAATTAGGATAAAAGAAACCAAAGTGCAAATTCTCACTCAGTTGCACAAATCACTGAGAGTAGTCACTGTCTCCCATCCCAGTTTACTTTTCCAAAATGAATATAGCCCAATTGCTGTTAAGGAAGATACACCTTTCCACATTGGAGTTTTCCTTCTTTTTAAATGATTATTTACTAAAAAGTTTAGAATACTCATAACTAAAACCATATAAACAGAGCCGGAAATGTTAAGTATGCTTATTATGCAAAAAATAAAAGGAACATAATTAAAATGGAAATAACATTACTCCTAAACACAAAGAGGAGGAAAGGATACTACATCCACTCCAAGACATATAGTCATCCGTATTCATGGCTCATCTAATTTTCTTCCAAAAAATGACAGAATGAAAAAAAAAAACACTTGAATAGCCAATTGTGAACTTGAAATCTATACTTTCGCTATGAGCCAATGTTGACGACTATGACGCAGTCTAAGCCCTAAATGGTTCTGGCCTTGCTTATCTGTCCAAACATATCTCTCCTTATGAACCATCCAGGAATTTAAGATCTTCTGGAGAGGCTCTGCTCTTTGTCCCGCCTTCTTTACAGGTTCGGTTGGCGGGGTCAAGAGATAGGGCCTTTTCAGTGGTGGCCCCTCGGCTATGGAACGCCCTCCCCAGAGATATTAGATCAGCTCCCACTCTCCCAACATTCTGAAAAAAAAGTCAAAACCTGGCTTTGCGAGCAGGCTTTCTCAAATGCAATGTAGTAAATAATTACTTGACCTCAGAACGGCTGGACAATTGCAATCGGATAAAGATTCTGGAAATTAGATACACAGGATTTATATTTTATGTTTTATTGATTTTATTGTTTACTAGCTTGGGGACCCGGCGCTGCCCGGGTTATTAGAGAAAGTGGGTAATGGCGGTTCTGTATGCCAAATTTGGTCTTTATTGGTCATTGGATAATGGCTGCATTGTTTTCAGGAAGTGAGTGAAGGAACTTGAAGTCCCATCATCCATGGTCCACCCTCCTCCAAACAGCAGCAGGATATAGAGTGGGTCATTGGAGCTCCATGTGCCAAGTTTAGTCTTGATTAGTCATTGGCGAGGGTCTCAGTGGTCTCAGGAAGTGAGCAAAGGTACTGCAAGTCCCATCATCCATCTCCAAATTTTTCCAAACAACACCAGGACGTAACGTGGGTCATGAGAGGTCTATGTGCCAAGTTTGGTGTTGATCCGTCATTGGATGAGGTTTGCAGAGGTCTCAGAATGTGAGTGAAGGTACTGGAAGTTCCATCATCCATGGTCCACCCTTCTCCAAAACTGCAGCAGGATGATGTAGAGTAGGTCATGGGGTCTCTGTGTGCCAAGTTTGGTCTTGATTGGTCATTAGATGAGGGT